AGGGTCTTGAGTTTGCTAGTCAGGGGCTCTACCACTTGAGCCATGTCTTTAGCTTTTAGTTATTTTTTTCAGGTGGGTTCTTGTGCCTACCTATGACTTCCTGCATAGCTGAGATGGCAGGTATGTATCACCATACCTGGTTTATTGATTGAGATGCGGTCTTGCTAACTTTTTGCCTGAGCTGGCCTCGCATGGTGATCATCCTGATCTCAGTCTCCCAAGTAACTGGGATTACAGGCGTGAGCCACCACACCTGACCTTGAAGTTTATAAATGTACATATGGAAGATGAAAACTGTCAGAAACAGGTGTACGTAAATTGTAAGGGGTCCATTTGTATTCAACACCAGGCAGCATGATCAAGAGCAAGTGCTTGACTTAGCAGTCAAGGATATTAGAAAAAAAAAAGGTGATAGTTGAGGGATCTTCCAAATATCCTGGGTGCAGTTTTCAGCTTAGGCTCAACAATTGTATATGTGGACAAAATCACCCAAGTCCAAGAAACATTTGGTCAATTTTTCAACTTCAAGTGATTCAAGGTCACATTGATTCTGAAGTAGAGAAGCTTGCCGGCTTTCAGCAATTTGCATGAAGAATGACATAGAGCCAGAAGAATGTGGCCAGAGAAAGAACCACAGACTACCTAACCCCTTGCCTGGCTCCCAGTGGAAACAGATGGAGCTGAGCCAGACCTGCAGGCAGAATATGGCTGCTTGTTGTGTAGGTGAACAGCCGGGATTCATTAGGGCTGGAGACTTCCACTCCACGGTGGGGCTGGTCAGAGCAGGCTCTGGTGGAAGCACCCTTTGTCCTTCCCGCAGTGCTTCCCTTCTCCATCTCTGGTCTGGGTTGACTCGAGCTTTGTGTTTTTTTGCAGCTGATGAAAACCAAACTTAATTACCAGAAGTCTGGGCAGCCTCTCTCTGTTCACAGACCCCTCCCCTAAGCCCTCCTTCCCTTGGCTTTCCCAGCGTGGGGTTGTGGCTGAGTTGCTGATTTTACAGAAATTACAGCTGGGAACTGGGGAACTGTTGGCAATCACAAAGACAAACTTCTCTGCTGTTGCGTCCTGTGTAGCCACATGTAGCCAGCCACTTTGGTGACCGTGCAAAAGCGACAGATTTTGTCAGAGCACCTCATCCTTTCAGGTGAAAATTAGTGGCTATCATGACTTGTAATTAAATGGGTAGCCTGACATTGTCTACTAGCCAATGGTTGATTACTGAGTGCTGATTATAAGGAGCTAATTCTTAATTCCAGGTATTCTCCATATTCCCAGCATGCCACTTTGCCTTTTTCACCCATAGCCTTTCTTATGAATTGTTCCTCCCTGGAGTGTTTGTAAGAGGAGAGGCTGAGAAGGGAAAGATAAGCCTTATGGGAATGGCTGATATTCACTGAGTACTTGCTGTATTTTTGGCACTGTTCTGAACTCTTTATCTCAACCTTATGGTGGCAGGTACCATTACTCTCTCCCCTTAACAGAGAAAACCAAGGCCATCATAGGTGAAGTAACATGCCCAGGTGTACATAGGTAGTAAAGGGTCCATTGGATTCAACACTAGACAGCATGATCCAGAGCAAGGGCTAAGTCAGGATTCTTTTTTTTTTTTAAAGAGATGGTGGTGGGAGAGTCTTCCAAATATACACTGTGCAGTTTTTACTGTAGACTCAATAACTGTATATATGGACAAAACCACTTTCCCCAAATCCAGGAAATATTTGGCCAATTTTTCAATTTCAATTTATGAAGATTAATGAGTCTAAAAATGCTGGGAGCTTTCAGGCCAGACTTCAAAGAAGGCTATTCCAAATGAGAGGAACATGGAATCCCTCTCATTCCAAAACCAGGAGATAAAATTTTGAGAGGTTCAGAGACCCTCCAAAACTGCTCTCCCAATAGAAAGTCCCCGAAAGCCTTATTTTAGAACAATATTAAGCACTATCAATATGAGAAATTGAGTTGATGTAATGGGAACAGAGAAAACTAAACTTGTGTAGAAAAACAGAAATTTTGCACCAGGTTATATGGTTTTAGGTACACGATTGACTTTTCTGTATCATAGTTACAGCTTCCTTGTTCCTTGCCCAGTCCAGAATTTAGAGACATGTGTCTGCTCCCTCGCACAGCATCTTTTTGAGAGTCCCTTTCCAGTCTCCCAAGACCTAGGAAATTTGCAAGTCCAAATTAGTGATGCAAACTAGCAAGCAAACTCCTGTAGATATTCCAGGACCAGGAATAAGGGTCTCCAGGGTCCTAAGCTGGGAGAAGCTAAGACCTGCTACCAGAGATTTCCTTAGGAAGCTGCCAACCAGAGGAGGAAAATAAATCTTTCTTCTCTAACCATCTTAGGTTCATTGGCTAGAGCTCTGTGAATTAGGCTAAAGAAAGGCAGATTAAAGAAAGAAAAAAAAAAAGAACTCAAACTTTATTAATGTGTGCATGACCCATGTGCATGGGAGCAGCCAGTGGTGAATAACTCACAGTGTGGTGAGACGTGGGTTTACAGAGCATCTTAACAAAAAAGAACACCTTTGTAGAGAACTTGAAAGAAAGGAAAAGGACTATGAGCTTCCAGGGGCAGCATATGGTGGGAGGGCACAAATAGATAGGAGAACTATGGGGAGATAAGCGCTACTTAGTAAGGTTTGTAGTAAGTAGATACTTCTGGACTGGTAAGAGTTCCAGAGTTGTCACTGCTGATCAACTGCTTAATAGAGAGAGGAGGTGAGGGAGACCTTAGTAAATGATGCTCCACTTTCAGCCAATGGAAAGGGCACTGAGCTTTTCTTATATCTGCTTCTTCTCAATTGCCTTTGGCTCAAAATAATCCTCATGCCAAAGTGGCATGTTTGGGGTGGAATGTTCTGCTGTGCTTAAGATGCTTCATCTCAAGTCTGTCCCATCCGGAGTTCAGTTACTATAGGGATGAGGTTGCTGGGTGTCAGTGCAAGGAGGCTGGGAGAAGGAGGCAGAGGGAAGAAGGAATTAGACCTGTCGGCTGGTGGTAGACTCCAAGAAACCTCTGAGAGGCTACAATACCACAGGTATTGGCGATGAAGTCACCTCTGTCTCACTGCCTTCACCAGAGGACCAGGACCTGTTGGCCAGCAACAAAGTAAACCTCCTTTCTCTAGCCTCTCCATTGTACCCTCAGATATGCTGCCCTTTGCTGTTCTCTGCTCTAAGGCTGCTCTGAGCGCTTTCTGTATACAGATTTCCCCTGGATCACGAAGTTGAGGGGAGGAAGAAGGCCCATGCTTTCTCAGTCAGTCTCAGGGCAGGCAGTACAGACGATGGCTAACGTTATTGTGCGGTTAGCAAGTGCGAGGCACTGTGCTATTTATACACACTCACGATCTCGTTCACTGCTTCCAACAGGTCACAAAGTAGGGTAGGTTATTATATCCATTTTATAGAGGGGAACACTGCGATTCAGAGACTTAGTTAGCTTGTTTAATGTCATGCAACCACAAAGTGACAAATCAAGATTTGAATACAGGAGCTAGTGGAGTGGCTCAAGTGGTAGGGTGCCTGCCTAGCAAGTGTGAGGCCTGAGTTCAAACCCCAGTACCGTCAAAAAAAAAAAAGATTTGAACCCAGGATTCCAAGTGCTGAGTTCTTGCTTCCCATTACTTTCCTGCAGTAGGCCCCTAGCAGTGTTGGGGATTAGAAATTCCCCCTCAATGGGGAAAGTGGAACACCCGTGCAGGGTTTCGGCTCTCCTAAATCGGTCTTGATCCTTGGGGGTTCACCCTCCTATATGTGGTCCCCAGGGTCTTTGCCCTTTCTCTTCCATTGCTTACTCCTTACTCTAAGCCTTAGTAATAGCACAGGGTGACTTATCTCCCAGGGACTTTGCTTTGGGGCAAGCATCCTCACTCCTAAATCATCAGGGCCTCCAATAGCTACAGAATAAAATTCTAACATCCTGGCCACACTCATAACTCCCTGCTGTCTGCCACATCCAAGCTTTTGCTTGAGCTGTTTTTCAGATAGGGTTTCTTGCTTTTTCCCAGGGCCAGCCTTGAACTGCCATCCTCCTACCTCGTTATTAGCATACTCATTATTTCCCAGTGGCATGGCTAGGTCCAGTCCTTTCTCTAGAAAGTCTTCCCTACACTCCTCCATGAACTCGGGGGCCTACCTTTCTTGATAGGCCTGCCCTGGAATGATCAGCATATCTTCTCACTTTGGTTTTTAAGCTGACAGTACAAACCAGGCGAAGGCATAGTTAAAGTCTCAATTCCACATTAGATTTGGTGTGTCTTGCTTCGTTATTCCCAGCTGAGTGCAAGTTAATCTCTGACTCTTTGTTTCTGCATTCATAATGTGTAGAGAACGCTACCTAGTTACAGCATGACTGTCGTGGTTAAATATAATTCTGTACAGGCAGAATTGTGTCTGTTAAATACAGCAGTAATATACAGCATCTAAGAAGTTGTATAGCATAGTGACTAGGGCTACAGTCTCTGGGCCCAAGAGTCCTGGGTTCAAACTCTGGCTGTGTACCTTACTAACTTTGTGATTTTGGATGAGTTGAATCTCTGTGGTTTAATTTCTGTTTTGTAGAATGAAGACGAAGGTTCTTTGTGAGTGAGGAGTTAGTCAAAAAAGTCACATATCTTGTAAAGCATTCCTAGTGCCAGACTAGGCATGTGTTCAGGAGTGCTTTATGCCCCCGAACTCACCATCATGAGCATCGTGGGAAGATGAGGCCTGGAAATGCAAGGAAACAGTTATCAAATTGCAATCGCTTAGAGTAGACAGAAGGGGAAAGAGAGCTTAGAGGCATTGGGAGAGTGTTGTGGGGGAGAGAGGGGAAGGTGGGTTACCTTCTTTTCTCCCCCAATCACCAATTTCCCCACCCTAAGCCACTCTGATAATTAGGACCCAAGTATGCAATCCATCCAGAGAAGGCACAACCAGCTCCCAGCCCAGGTGACCATCCCAGGTTCCCGCAGTGGTGGGTGGTGGGGTGGGTGGTGGGGTGCGCCCGGCTCGCAGCCTCACCTGAGTGCCCCCCTGCCAGCCTCTGTTCCTCCAGGGTGTTGCCGGCCACACCCTCCACCCAGTCCTCATCCCAGCCGCACACAGCAGGAGCCCAGCGGGACTCGGGCAGGCGCGGTGGCCCGCGGCTTCCCTGCCTGTCCCAGGGCGCCAGTCTCCTCGCGCGGCCACACCTCCCGGGCCCCGCAGGGTTAAGGCAGCGGATTGCAGAGGTTTGGGCTGACGTCGCTGTGGCTGAAGGTGGTTCCCCTGGATGAGGGTGGGAGATCCTGCCAGCTGAAACCCGAGCTCCTGCTCAGCTGGAACTTGGGGAGGTCCCTGTAAGAGCCGCCTGCCGCCGGCCTCCCTCGCTCGGTCCCTCCTCTCGCTCCCACAGTCACTCGGGCACCGCCGCGGGAAAGATGGAGCTGGACCGGTGGACGCAGCTGGGGCTCGCGTTCCTGCAGGTCCTTCTCATCTCATCCTTGCCGAGAGGTACCGTGAGTAGCATTTAGGCTCCCAGGAGGGGGCCTTTCTCTCCTGGGATTTGGTGGGGAGCAAGACCAGGGAGTCTCTGGGGTGGGGTGGGGGTGGAAGGTTTGTTCCTCTCTTAACCTTGTGGGCTTAGCTGGTGGCGCTGGAGCGCCTGTTGCCCTCCCTGAGAACAGGACACAGCTGTGTCATCCCTAGTTGGGGACCCAACTGAACTGTCTCAGGAAGGGAAACCAGCTCCAGTCTCCCTCAATTTCCCCTCCCCCCGCCCTTTTAAAAAGTTTATCTGTTTTAAAGCACCAAGTCACCTTGGGGGAATCCATTGCTTTACTGGCTCTGATTTTCAAAGTTTCCCCTGGAAAGTGCTCCTGCAGAGGTGAGGAGGAGAGAAAGAGGGATACAGAGCAAGGCTTGCCTGTTATCCTACAGGTAAATCTTGCTGGTGAAATCTCACAGTGGTAACCCTTCTGGAAAGATCCACAACCAGAGGACCTACTTGCTCAGCTTCCTTCCTGATAAGAAGTAGAAAGAAAAACTGAGATTAAAAGTGCATTTTATTTCTGGGGATGCACAGTGTTTGTTTGGAAAGAGTTTGGCTTCTTTGTTTTCTAAGTCATTTTTCAGAGTCACAATTCCCAGGTTAAATGGTCTGGAGGATGGGAATGAGTCTGAGTCATGACAGAACTCCTGGGGGTGGGGGGGCAGAAGGCAGGGGATGGCACATAGGGAAGCAGGGACTTTTTAGGAGTATATGTCCTTACATGGCTGGCAGGTGAGGTGTGAGGAGGAAACAAGAGACTTCATGAAGTAGGGGCAGGTTGAGCTGTATAGGAGCAGGACACGTATGAGTTCTGGCCACCTCCCTTCTATTCTGGCTGTCTGTCCCCTGCTCTCTATCTGAGAGGTGAGTGCTCTGCTGCTGCAGGTGGCTGGCTGGTGCCTGAGAAAGAAACAGCAGAACAGGCAGTTGTGGTGAGGATGTTAAATGCCATAGCCTGCTGTAGAGAAGGGGAAAACAGCCATTAGATACACAAGACCCCTTCCCCCACTCTGGTCAATACTTCCCCTCTACCTGCAGCCTGCCCACTCTCAATCTTTTTGAGTGATTTACTATAAAGGTGGCGAGAGTATTTCATTTGAATTTTGCCTCTGCGGCATCTGGAGTGGTTCAAAGACAATATTAAAGAGGAGTACTTCAAGTTGGTCATCCATAGTGTAAATACTTGTCCACAAGTCAAGTGAGGTTTCTGCATTAAGACTCTTCCCTACCTCATCTCTGCCTTCTGGAACCAAACTTCTAGGATGTAATGTCCGTAGACCAACTTCAGAGGACCCTGAGTCTTCCCACAGCATCAGAGCTCAGTAGATCAGATTCCTCATGGTTGGATCAACAGTCTGCTTCGTTTTTATAATGTGGCAGGTGACACGACTCCAACCTTTGAAAGTTTGAAAACAAAGTTCAACTGCCCAAGGTCTGAAAAAGCCATCTATTGCTCACTTGAGAATCAATTCTACCTTTTGCTGTGGAAAAGCTTTGGGAGGGTGTGTGGTTTGTTGTCAGCCAAGTTGCTGACTGAGCCTGAGAGCAGTTTCATGGATTTAGCAAGGACATTTCAGTTGTTGAACTAAAGGGAGAGGGAAGAGTAGAGAAGGAAAATATTTCTTCATGTAGTGAACCATTGACTCCCTGCTGGAATTTGGAATCTGGTCCCATCAAGAAAAGCCTGGAAGCATATTTCCTCTACTTTTCTACAGAGTATCTGAAGTGTAAACATGCATTGGGATGGTCCCCAAGATTACCGTAGCTCGTGGACATGTGATATGTGTTTGAAGGCCAGAATCAAAACATGGGCCAAGTGATAAACCTAACATAAACAGCATGTGAGGGGGAAACCCAAGTCCACTGACTTCACCAAATAGCAGTAGCGCTGCCAGGGTGACTCCGCCTAAGAGGAAAACCTCATTTAAAATATGGGGCCCTCGGGAAATGAGACCTTAATATGGATCAGTTCACAAGTGTCGCTTCCAACAGGCGTTTGCTTGCGGAGAATGACACAAAAGCAGTGGGGGAAGAGAATTTGAAGTACAGCTATTCAGTGGGTAGGAACAGCTAGCTGAGAAAGGGAATGTGGAAAGAAAGGAGGGAGAAGGAGTGGCTAGAAAAATTAGATGGTAGTTTTTAGGGGCTGCGTTAGCACATTCCAAAGAGAAAGCTATGGAAATTGGTGAATTTTTATGGGAGAGCATGAAGAGGGGGTTCCCTTTATGAGAGCTCTTGGCACTTCACTAGGAAAATAATATCATGGTGGGATCATGGATTTTTGGAGCTGAAGGTGTCTTAGTGGTCATTTTAGTTTTAGTCCTTCAGTTTCAGAGCACATCTAGCTAACATGTAGTGAACATTTACAATGTGCCCAGACTTTGAGCAAGTACTTACGTACATTAATTCTCAGATCACCTAATACCATAGGTGCCTTTACTACCCTTGTTTTACAGATGAGGTTTGGAGAGGCTTTATGACAATGTCAAGAATATGCAGGCACAATTCTTCAAATAATTAAGTGTGGTGTTATCATTTGATCTAGTAATTCTACTTGTGAAAATATATATAAAAGAACCAAAAGCAGAGACTTGAACAGATAGATATTATATGTCAATGTTAATAAAAGCACTACTCCACAAAGTCACAAGGTATAAATAACCAAATGTCCACTGCTGTATAAGCAAAATGTGCTATCTGCAATATCACTTACCTTTAAAAATGAAGGAAATTCTGAAACATGCTACAACATGGTGGGCCATAAGTGAGAGGAGCTGGACACAAAGACAAATATTGTGTAATTCCATTTATATAAGGAATCTACAGCAGTTAAATTCACAGAGACAAAAGTAAGATGGTGATTGCCAGGAGCTACAGGGAGAAGAGAACAGGAAGTTATTCTTTAATGGTACAGAGTTTCAGTTTGATATGATGAAAATGTTCTGGAGAGGAATGTTGGTGATAGTTACACAACAGTGTACTTAATGTCACTGAATTGTACCTATAAACATGATTGGAAAGGTAACTTTGTGTTACATACATTTTCCCACAATCAAAAAATAAAGTTACTGGGTATAGGGCACAAAATCCCCCACACTCAGGAGTCTGGGCTACATGGTGAGACCCTCTCTAACTAACTACTAACTAACTAACTACTAACTAACTAACTAACTAGAAAAGAAAGAAAGAAAAGAAGGAAGGAAGGAGGGAAAGATGGAAGGAAGGAAGAAAGGAAGGAAGGAAGGAAGTCTGCATGGGCAGATTAGTGGAGCCCGTGGTGAATCCTGACTAATTTTGGAGCCCATGTTCACCTGGGCTCACCTGGCTGCCTTATATTCACACGTCAAGCACATGGACTGATGGTGCTGATGAAAATCTGACCTTGGCAAGGTTTAGGACACACATGAAAGAGAGGAGAGACAGCCCTTGCTAGTTTGTCTTGGCTGAGAAGAGCAAGACAGTTGCTCTGTCTTGGCTGACTGTGGCAAAGAGAAGGGCTGTAGAACCAAGGACTTCATTCTGGCAGCCTGTAGGCCACATGGCCAGCAGAAGTGTTTAATGGGACGCAGTGCTTAGAAATGTTTGAACTCAAATGCCTTGAGGTAGGTTAGATCCTCTTTCTCGTGCTTGATACATGCTACAAGCATTTGAATTTTTGACCTCCGTTCCTGAAAGGGATGGGCAGAGGAGGAGAGGGGCAGAGAGAGGAGGTAAAAGGCTGGATGCTGAAGGGGAGACTTGCAAGTGGGTTAAGTGGCTAAGGTCTGATTGGTAACAGAACTTTTTAAAAGCATCTGTTACATGAGACTTTTTAAAACTTCAAATATATTTCAACTTGCATGTCTCGTGGAACATAATCTTACCTCTCTTTGTGACCTCCTATTCTTTGATAATATGTTTTACTCTCACGAATGACTTTGAATATGAGCTTTTGATAGAAACCGAGGAGGAGTTGGGTGCTATGTCTGGGTCAATAACCTGTGCATTCTTGGCCATGGAAGCCCAGGAGCAGAGGTGACATAGAGCATGGGAGTCCCTTGGGAACACTGAGAAGTCCTGGGGGAATCTTTGAATGCCATGGGCATAAATTGGGGATTTGATTTACTCTTGCCTACATCTGGGTTATATTGACAGGACAGAACTGCCTGAGACAATGGTGTCTGAGGGACCTAATAATTGGGCTTAAAGTAAAAAATATATATATATTTCCACCTGCCCCACTGGGGGTGGCCAATCAGGATGTAAGAGAAAACCTCTCTGCCTGTCTCCCTTGAGGCCAGCTCTAGATGCTACAATTGACCTGGGGTGTGTGCAAATTGGGAAAAGTGTTATTTCCATGGTAAGTGAGGAAGGTTGTGCCCTCCTCCTCTGACACAGGGAAGGAGGAGGAGGATGGATATTTAAAAGCCCCAGCGCCTGGCCTCCTTCTCCTCTTCTTTAGATTAAAGGGGAGAGAACTCCAGTGTTTCTATTTCCCAGTTTCTGAATTCCAGGGCTAAGGACCCAGAGGCAGTGGAGCACTGAAAGCTACCAGATCAAGGAACGTCTATCACATTCCAAGCCTGGTCTATGTTTAAGGAATTCTGTTTGTCAGTCATCACAAGATCTGGGCCAAAGCAATAGGTTTATAATAGAAAGGAAGAAGTAAAACATGTAGGACAAACCTGGCTTCTATAAACAGAACCACTCAAAGAAGGCAGAGAATTAGGGCTGCCTGGGGATGTTCTACTCTCTGAATCACTGTGACCTTCTGCTTCCCCCACCCAACTCTACTCCTTCTCTCTATTGCAGTCACGTGTGAGACACACTCAGTGCTCACGTGAGTACGTAAGGGCTGTACATCAAAGTCAATACCCTTGATGATAGAAATAACAAAGGTGGAAGCAACTTTGAAGGGGCTTCTAGCATATCATACCTAAGGTATCTAATCCCAAATTTGGCTTCCCAAAAAACTGACTGAGTT